GCCTCTCATCCTCTTCAATCCAAGCCCATCAACCGATGATCATCAATCGTTTTATCACGGCTTATTACCCATCGAACAGCCTTGCACTGAAAACCTTAGCCCGTTGTTCAAACTCTTACCCTGCGGATCTCATGCTGGATTAACCTCTCTCATCGATAGTCATAAATTATTCGACGCCAATTGGCATTCTATTCGTCTTAAAATCTTCAATCATCTTGATCACTCTTCACTCAACTCGAATCATCTACGACTGGAAATCGAAATCGAAACCGTGCTTGATCAAGTTCGTAAAACTACTAAAAGAGGTCAATCCGTGTGTTCAATAAACAAATAAACAATCGTTACATTTATTGATATATTCAAAATATGATATGATATGATTTTTTGTTTTGTTTTTGGTTGATAATTGGAAAACTAGATTGGGATTTAAACTCAATTTTTGGGAAATCGATTTCGAAAAAATGTCCATTAACAAGCTCTAGTAACATAGAAATTATAGAACCACCATCCCTGACGGAAGAGGAGACGAAAGGCACCGAAGGACTAGTTATTCAACGACCAACGATCCATCCTCAAGCTCATCCTCATGGATTACCCGTTGATGGTAAACATACTTATAATATCCTTCAAGGTTCTTGCTTCCTCTTTTATCTTTACCCGTTTTTCCTTTGCTCATCATTTACTTATAAAACCCTTTTTCTGTTGTAGCCGTTTTACCTTTAGAAATCGAAATGAAATGGCCAACAGAAGAAAGATTTAAATATCGTGAGTATGATTCAACTTCCAAAGAAAAAAAAAGCATTTCCGTTGATTGAATTCTGAGTTCTTTTCCTTTTTTGAAACGAAAAAAAAAACAGCGGAGATTTATACCTCACCCCCGGTAAAAGTCAAAAGATTATTATCAGGACATGGACAAACGAGAGGAATAATGGGAATAGAAATCGAGATGAAACAAGAAGAAATCGATCGAGATCCACGACAAGAGATTGTTTATTTCGAAGAATTACCTTGGTGGTTAACGATTTATTTACATACTTTAAAAGTCGAAGTTGATGGTATTCAAATCAGTTGAGTCAATGTGATATTTTATTTCGTAGTGAAAAAAAAAAAAAACGTAGTAAAGGATAGGTTGGCTGATTCTAGAGAATTGATTAGAATATCCAACTCGAGTGATCACCAAGAAAACAATCAAGCCTTCAATACAAAGAGAACGCCCATACAGCTTTACGATGACCCTGAATTTCCCTTCCTCCGATGATATGAAGGTCAACCTATCCAATATTCAATCAGAAGACCGAAATTCGAAGAAAAAGAACACTCAACTACGAAAGATGAAGATTTATTTCGAATACGAGAAAGATTTATTACTCTATACTGAATATTCTTCTGATGCTAATAGAGGATTCGACTTGAATCCAGCAGCATTAATCTTGTATTCCTCAAAAACCAAAAATAAAGATCAAGGCGATGAACTCGCTCATGACAATCTTCATCAAAGCGGTCTTAATTCTTCAGCTTCTGATCATAGAGGTAGTAGTGTAAGGTATTGGACTACTTGCGCTTTGGTCGATCTAGCTACTCCAGATTTCTCGATGCCTTATAATGTTATCATCGTCACTTCTACTGGTTCGTCTTTTTTTTTTTTCTCAGCCTTCTCTCAACACAGCAAAATTCATCTCCTCCTTACTGATCTCTTTCTCTCACTGGTTTTCTCTCTCTCGGGTCGATGTGTATAGCTATGGCTTT